GACAGGTCCATATGAGCAGGATCCTTCCATCCTTTTCTCGGATTGGGACCTGTTCATATACGTTCTTGGGAGATGATCCAGAAGTGGTTTGCCATTGCCTTCTTCTGTGTGTGAATGGAGTAATTGTTGGGATGCCACGGAGAAACCGGGGAAGCCCCCGGAGGAAAACTCCGTGTTGCCTAGACCACGGCCTTGCCCAACACAAGTTATAAATTCGGGCACCGCCGGGAATCGAACCCGGGACCCCAGGATTACAAGGCCAGCGTTCTAACCACTAGACCAGATTTTATCGAATTTGTACGGTGGTTGAGTGAGGCCAGATTGCATTTATGTGATGTAAATTAATGGACCAAGTTAAATGTCATAGCGAAATCAGAAACCTCAGGGTTGAAAACCTCAACCCCAGTCCACGAAGAGGTCTGTGGGGTATGGAGATGTATCTTCAATTATTACAGCCCCCTAGCGGCAGAAGCTCGTACTACATCCGGTTCGCCCTCTATTGACACAGTCTGGAAACATTCCGATCGCACCTCGTATAGTTACAACTAGGCTTTAAAGTGTTCATAAATTTCGTTTTTGTTCCCATCGCTTAACTAGTTGTTGATTTACACCGATTTTATTTTTAGCTGTATAATTCTTCAGCAGAGGGCATAAATTCCAACTGGCGCGGTATTTTAACCGGAGAATTTTTTCTTAGAAATTTATCGATTCATGAATCGTATTCTGGCACAATATTAGTTTCCCAAACGTCCTTGACGACAGTATCATAGCACACGGCTCAATACTGTGGCAGCCATCACCAAATTACACGCTCCAAGGCGACAGCAAAATTGTATACAATGCGAACAGGGAAACACAGGGAATTCAAGGGAGCTCAGAATTCGAACCACAGCAAAATTGGTAATGTTGTACTGGCGACTCAACAGCTCTTTCTATGGCCTTGAAGTATGTAATTTGATGTTGGCTTACTATAGACGCCATTGCACCAACCTGTCCTTCGGGATGGATGTCAGAGATGCAGAGGAACAGTTCGCTACCAAGGAAGACGGGCAGCTGCAAGGCTCTGGACATTGCGCTCCGACCCTCAATGCGACGAGCACCAGAAGTACAAAGCAGTCCCTGAAATACAACATAATGTTAGGCTATAAACGGTACTGAGGCTTTTATGACTGTGGATGTGGCTCGTAGCTTCGGTTATATTTAAAGGATGCACGTGTAGGAAGGGGCAGAAGGCAATGCATACAGTGATAACAGGCAGAGATAATTTTTTTTTCTTGCGTTAATCGGAAGATACAATCTGTTTTGTTTAAGTCGTTATAGTGGCAATAATGGAGACAACAGAAATTGCCTATAGTGGGGAAGTGAGCTTATAAATATTCCACCGACTGCGTTCAAATAAAAATTTAAAATATGTTTTGAGTGAAATTGCATATGCCCAGACATGCTCTTTCCTACGTCTTCCCTTCTTACTGTGAAGTATCCCAAGCTCGCAGTTACGTTGCGTCCACTTCAGCAGCAAATCCATCTAATGTGTGACTAAATTGAAAACCTTCTGATCGTCAGCACAGGACATCATAGGCAAACAAGTGACTGCTTACCAACAAACCAACACGCGTCAATTTTTAAATTAGTACTTGAATTTGGACACTTCAGGCTGAAATTTCATCCTGATATCCACGATCTCTGTGTAAGATTCTGTTCTGACTTCTGGAAGGACCGAATACAATTGTATTCTGGCATAATGCATTTCGAATCTTGGCCGGGTTATCATCCATCCTAAAGGACATGTTTTGTGGTTTTACTCAGTCCTTTCATTAAAATTCCTGGATAATATGTTGAAAGACGGCAGGACCATATTTCATTTAGACTATACATCATTAAACAATCAATATCATTTGAAGTTGTGGCTTGCACTGAGCTGACTTATTCTAATCACGGCGAATTTCTTAATCAGCTGAAGATCCATGAATAAGATCACGAAAAATATGGTCAAAACAGCTACGAAACTAGGACATAAGAATATACCATGAATTAAGCGAACAAAGGTCCATAGATTGTGAAGTATTTGATAAGACAGATGTGTGAAGTAGTGGCACCCCAACGTTGACATTTGTATTATAAATATCACTTATTTGATAAGAGTGAGTTAGCAGAAGATAACAGAATGAGCTGTGTTTATTTTCTCCGTCCACAATCCAACGATTCGAACGACTGACATCCTCACATGTATACCAAGTGCAGAGTTAGTTTTTGTACAGTATCCCTTCCTCCAACGCGGGTTCGACAATACGCGCAGAAGTAAATGCGACCACTTATTTGCGTCATGCGGAAAGTTCTATTATACTTGTTCCGCCGAACACACTGAGTAGAATCATACGAAAAATCCCACTACTGATTAAAAAGCTGAAGGTGGTTTGGCTTTTGTGTGTACCTATTTTTGTAACCAGCTTGGGTGATTTATTTGGCACATGTAAGAGTCAACTGTAATCCAGCGGTTTCTTCCCCCCCGAGTCTTTCG